AAAGTTTTGGAAAATTCCATTGAGATGTTTTGGGGATATGGAAGTAATAGTAACATCCGCAAAATGGGAAAACGTACCAAATACCACCCACTTTATTGCTAAAGTAAACTTTTGGGGCCCTTCATTGATTCATATTTTTTCTTTTCCCCTTTTGGGGGTATACATTCCGGGTACAATTTTGGAAAATTCCATTGACGGAGTTTTGGGACTGATAAGGAGGCAAATGAGTAACCCCCTTTTAACCCGGACATCCCAAAATTACACCCCACTTTTTTCAATGTCGCATTTGGGCACATTCTACTTGGTTAATTATATATTGTATATTTCTATTTGATTTCATTCAGGTACAAGTTTTGGAAAATTTTGACGGATGATTTGGGATGATGGGGGGCAATGAAACACCCTTTAAAACCGGAACTACCCAAAATTAAAATCCCCTTTATTGCGTCAATGTCAGCTTTGGGGCCCTTTACCGGTTAATTCAAAATTTGTATTTTCCCCTTTTTTAACATTCCAGGTAAAAGGGGGTCCATTGGGATGATTTGGGCTGATAGGGCTTGGTAACTCCCTAATCGGGCAAGAAATTACACCCCACTTTATTGCTAATGTCAGCATTTGGGCACATTCTCGGTTATTATTATTTTATTTCTTTTTGGGGTTTTCAGGTAAGTTTAAAATTCCGCGGATATTTGGGACTGATGATGGGAGCTAAGGAAACTCCGCTAATCCGGAAACGCCCCCAAAAATTACCCACTTTATTGCGTAAAGTGTTTGGGGATTTTCCCTTTGGTTAATTCATATATTTATCTTTTCCCCTATTTGAATACATTCGGTAAAGTTTTGGAAAATTCCTTGACGGATGATTTGGGACTGATGATAGGAGGCTAATGGGAAACTCCGCTAACCCCGGCAAACCCAAAATTACCACCCCACTTTTTCGTCAATGTCGCATTTGGGCACATTACTCGGTTTTTCTTTTTTATCTTTTCCCTATTTGATTATACATTGTACGTTTGGGAAAATTCCATTGACGGATGATTTGGGTGATGATAGAGAGTAATAAACATCCAAAAAGGAAACATCCGCAAAATTACATCCCACTTTTATTGGTCAATGTACTTTTGGGAAATTTAACTTGGGTTAAAATTATTTTTGACATTTCCCCTTTTGGTAATTTCAGGTCAGTGTTGGAAAATTTCCCATTGGATGTTTGGGATGATGGGAAATGATAACTCCCTAACCCGGACAACCCCTAAAAATTACACCCCTTTTTGCGTCAATGTCGGCATTTGGGCATTATTTTGGTTAATTCTATTTATAATTTCTATTTGAGGAAACATTGGGTACAAATGTTGAAAATTCCATTGACGGATGATTTGGGACTGATGGGGGGCTAATGGGTAACTCCGCTAACCCGGACAACCAAAAATTACACCCCACTTTATTGCGTCAATGTCCTTTGGGGGCACTTACTCTTGGTTAATTCATATATTGTATCATTTCTATTTAATATACTTTCCCAGGTACAAGTTTTGGGAAAAAATTCCATTGACGGATGATTTGAGACTGATGATGGAGGCTAATGGTAACATCCGCTAATCGGACAACTCCCAAAAATTACACCCTTTATTCGTCAATGTCAGATTTGGGCACATTACTACTTTTTAAATTTATATTTATCTTTTCCTTTTGATATCATTCCAGGTGGAAAAAATTCCATTTGTTTTGGGAATTTTTCCCAAATTTCCCCAAATGGGCCCCTTTTCTAATTTTGGAAAAAGCTTTGGGCCCTTTTTACTCTTGTTTTAATTCATTTTTTATCTTTTCTTTTGGGGATTTTTTCATAAAGTGTGGAAAAATTCCTTGACGGATTTTTTGGACTGATGATAACAAATGGTAACACCCCTAATCGGACAACCCCCCAAAAATTACACCCCTTTATTGCGTAAATTTATTTTATCAATTCTTTTATTTTTTTTATACATTGGTACAAGTGTTGGAAAAAATTTTGACGGATGATTTGGAAAATGATGGCCCTAATGGAAACCCCGCTAACCCGGAAACGTCCAAAATTACACACCCTTTATTCGTCAATGTCAGCTTTTGGGCATTACTCTTGGTTAATTCTTTTGTTCATTTCTATTTGGGGTATACTTTCCCGGGTAAAAAGTTTTGGAAAATTCCATTGACGGATTTTTGGGATTTTGATGAGGGGAGGCAAAGGGTAACCCCGCAAAACCGGACAACGTCCCAAAATACACCCCTTTATTGCTCAATGCATTTGGGCACATTACTTTGGTTAATTCATATATTGTATCATTTCCTTTGGTTTAATTCGGTACAAGTTTTGGAAAATTCCCTTGACGGATGATTGGGACTGATGATGGACGCTAATGTTAACATCCGCTAATCGGACAACGTGAAAAAATTCCCATTTTAAATGCTCAATGTTTTGGGCACATTACTATTTGGGTTTAAATTATATATGGTATCATTCCTTTTTGGGGTTAAAATTCCGGGTAAATGTTGGAAAATTCCATTGACGGATGATTTGGGACTGATGGAGGGCTAATGGGTCCCCCTAATCCGGTAACTACCGCAAAAATTAAAATCCTTTATTGCGTCAATGTCAGCATTTGGGCACATTACTCTTGGTTAATTCATATATTTTCATTTCCTATTGGTATACATTCCGGTAAAAGTGTTGAAAATTCCATTGACGGATGATTTGGGACTGATGATGGGAGGCTAATGATAACATCCCTAACCCCGTAACGTCCCAAAAATTCACCCACTTTTTTCAATGCGCTTTGGGCACATTACTATTGGTTAATTCAATTTTATTTTCCCCTTTTGGGGAAAAAATTGGGGTACAAGTTTTGGGAAAAAATTCCCATTGACGGATATTTGGGACGTGTGGGAAAGCTAATGGTAACACCCCTAACCCGGACAAACCAAAATAAAATCCCTTTATTGCTCAATGTCGCTTTGGGCTTACACGGTTTTCATATATTGTATCTTTTTCCTATTTGGGGTATACTTTCCCAGGTACAAGTTTTGGGAAAAATTTCCCATTGACGGAGATTTGGGGACTGATATAGGAGGCTAATGAGTAACATCCGCTAACCCGGACAACTACCCAAAATTAAAACCCCACTTTATTGCGTCAATTCGGCTTTTGGGCCTCTACTTGGTTAATTAATATATTGTATCTTTCCTTTTGGGGTATACTTTCCCAGGTACAAGTGGGAAAATTTCCCATTGAGGGATGATTTGGGGACTGATGTGATTTAATAGTAACATCTAATCGGACAAGTCCCCAAAATTAAAACCCCCTTTTATTGCGTCAATGTCAGCTTTTGGGGCCCTTTTACTTTGGTTAATTCTATTTGTATCTTTTCCTTTTTGGGGTTTTTCCATTCCAGGTACAAGTGTAATTCCATTGACGGATGTTTGGGACTGATAGAGCTAATGGTAACCCCCTAACCCGGACAATCCCCCAAAATTACACATCCCTTTTTCTCATTCAGCTTTCCTTTCTTTGGTTAATTCATTTTTGGGTTTTTATTATTTTTTAAAAGGGGGAAAAATTTTTTAAAAAAAAAAAAAAAAAAAAAAAAAAAAAAAATTTAATTAAAGGAAATTGGGGTGGAAAGGGGAAAAATTTTACGGTTTGGGTTTTGAAAAAAATTTGGAAAAAAAATTATAAAAATGGAAAAAAGGGAAAAAAAATCCCCCTTGTAAGCCAGATTTAAAAACCTGTTTTTTCATAAAAGACATTTCAATTTGGATAAAGAAAATTTTGGGAAAATAAAAAATCTTAATGGGAAAAAATTTTTGGGGTTTAAAACCGGGGAAACGAATACAATAAAAAAAATTTTTTCCCAAATCGGGAAAAAAAAATTAAAAGGGGAAATTTTTTTTTGGGCCCAAGAAGGGGAAAAATTTTTTTATCAAGTAATTAGGGCGGGTTTGGGGAAAAAGGGGGAAAACCAAAGGGCACGTCTCAAAAAAAAAAATTTTTTTTTTTAAAAAAAGGGTTAACCCCCCCAAAAAAGGGAAAAATGTTGATAAATAACAAGGGTAAAATCATGACGGGGAAAAAGGAAAAAGGATAAGGAAGGGGGAAAATTGGACTCCAAAAAGGGGAAATCCAAAACCATTTTAGGGTATAATAAAAACTGAGGGGGTTTCCCGGGGCCCCAAAAAAAAATGAAAAAATACGATAATAAAAAATTTAATCTTTTTAAAATTACGAAAAATCCCCAAAACCCCCCATTTTTTTGCGGCTCAATTTTTAAAATTAAAAAATATTGAGGGGGATTCGGGGTTAAAATTAGCGGGGGGGAGGGAGGCCTGGGGAAAATTTACCCCCCCCTTTGGGCAAAAAAACCCAAAAAATCCTTGCCATTAAACGGAAATTCACAAAAACAAAAAGTTAAAACCAAAAAAAAAGGGAAAACAAAAACGATGAAAAGTTAAGTTCACCCACGCAAAAAAAACCCAAAAAAGGATTCCAATTAAAAGGGAAATTTCCCCCGGGAAAAGAAAACTCCAAAGAAGGGGAAAAAAATAAATTGGGGAAAAATAATTTAAAAATTTTTAAAATTTGGGGGAAAAAACTAAACAAAAAGGATTTAAGGGAAGAAAAAAAGGAGAAGGGGGGGAAAAAACCGGGAGGGGGGAAAATTTTTTTTGAAGGAATTAAAAAAAAGGTTGCCCTTTTTTTAAACAATTTTTGTTTTTTTGGGGGGTTTTTTTTTTTACCCCCGTGGAAAAGAACAAATCCTCGGCCCCCAAAGAAAAAAAAAGGGGGGGGAAAGAAAAAAAGGGTTTTGGGGTTTGGGGAGGACCCAAAGGGGGGGGAAAAAATTTAAAGGGGGGGCCCGGAAGGGGCCGGGGGACGCCCCAAAAGCCGTAAAAAGGGACCCCAAGGGCCGGGGAAGCCGGTGGGGTGCCCAAGGTCAATGAGAAACCGTAAATTGGGTTGGGGGAAGATTTTAAAAAACGATACCCCGTTGCAAAATTAGAAGAATAAAGCCGGGAGGGAAAAAGAAGAAAGGGGTTGTGGTAGGCCCCTTTTTTTTTTCCCCTCGAAAAAAATTTTTTCGAACATGTAGTTTACGGAAACGGGGGTAAGAAAAAGGGGAAAAGGGGGGGTTTCGTGGGAAAGAGGTGGGGGAAAGGGGGCGTTTTATAGCAGGGAGAAAACTGGCGGCAACCGGGGGGGGCCACAAAACCTGGGAAAAACCCTTTTGGGGGCCCAAAGGAAAAGGGCTGAGTTCGAAGGGGGGGGAAACCCCCCCCGGAAGAAAAAAAAACTCTAAAAGTTGCCGAGAAGGAGCCCACCCCGGGGGCCCCCAAAAAAGAAAAAAAAACCGGGGTTGGGGCCCCAAAAAAGGGGTTGCTTCCCAAAAAAGGGTGGGAAATCTTTACGGGCCAAAAAGGGGGTTTATAAAAAGGGGTCCCCTTTTGGTAAACAAAAGGGAACCGGGGAAGGATAATGCCAGGAACCAGGGGGGATAAATAAAAGGGGGGGAAAAAACCAACAAAAACAAGGTTGGAAGAACCCCTGGGGAAATAGAGGGAAGGGAAGGGGGTCGGGGGGGGAAAAGGGGGAGGCCCCCAAAAGGGGAGGTGAACCTTTTAAAACCCCCCGGGGTCTGAGGGGGTTTTGGTGGGGGACCTGGGGCGGGAATGCCAAAGGGGGGTTTCCCCAATTAAAAAGGCCCAGGGGGTAAAAAGGGACCCTGGAAGTTGCGGGCGAGGAAAAAGGCCCCCCGTTTAACAAAAAAGCGGTAAAAAACCCCCCCCCAGAAAAGAGGGAGGGGGCCCGTTGGGGAAAAAAAAAAAGGGGGGGGGGAAACCCGGGGAAAAGGGGGGGGTTCCCCGAGAAAGAGAAAAAACCTTGGAAAAAAAAATTTGGGAGGGGGGGCGGGCCACCAAAACGCCAAAAAAGGGTGGTTTTCGGGAAGGGCCCCCCCAAAGTTTAAAACGAGGGAAGGGGGTCCCCGGGTCCCCAGGTGAGGGGCAAAACTTAAAAAAGGGGTGATTTTTAAAAGGGCTTGGCGGGTTTCCCAAATAGGCCCCCGGAAGAAAAACTGTGCCCCCCGGAAAAAAACCCAAAACGAAAATTTGGGGGAAGGGGGGCGGGGAAAAAGGGCTCTGGTCAGGAGAAAAACAACGGCGGTGAAAAAAAAGGTTACAAAAAGCGGACAAGGACAAAGCAAAGGGGGGCCCCCTAAAAAGGGATGGTGACCCCGGGGGGAGGGGGGTTTTAAAAATTTTTCCCTGATGGTGGGGAATTTGGGAGGTTGGCCCGGGGAAAGAGGGGCCCGAGAGTTTTCCACTTTGGGGTAAAGGGGGAGAACCCCGGGGGGTGAAAGGAAGGGGGTCCCCCGGGTGGAAAAGGGTAAAAGCCCCGGACCCCGGGGAAAGGAAAGGAAAGGAATGCAAAAAAAGGGGGAGGACCCTGATTTGGGCCCAAGGAAGGGCCAGGTAACGGGTTTGCGAAACTGGGCAGGGGGGTGCCCAAAAGGGGGGCCCCAAAAATAAAAAAGGGTTTGGAAAAAGGAATTTTCCCAAACCCCTTTCGGGGAATTCAGGAAACAAGGGAAGCTAGTAAGAAACAAAGGAACAGAGAGGAAATTTGCCCGGTAAAAAAAAAAAAGGGGGGTTTTGGAACAATAGAGGGGGCCCGAGATAAAAAAGGAAACCAGTAAAGAAAATGACGGGGGGGTTAAAACCCCAAATTAAAAAAAAAAAAAGGGGATAAAATTTGGAAGGGGGATGATAAAGTCGTTCCCCCGGGGTTCCAAATAAAAATAAAAAAAGGGGATTTTTTTTAAAATTTAAAAAAATATAAGCCTTGGCGGGAAAAGAAGACCCCCTTTGGAATTTGGAAAAAGTTTTCCCGGGATTTGGGGTCTTTTGGAGGCCCCGGGTGGGGGGAAAGGGGAAGGGCATTCACCGGGAGCAGTTAAGGATGATTCTTTTTAGAATGGGGGAGTTTTAAAATTAAAAAATTGGGGGAAGAGCTTTGAATTTTGGGGAACGAATTTTGGAACTGGAACAAACTTTTTTTTTAAAGAAACAGGGGGGAAGGGAAAAACCGTTTTGAATTAAAGTTTTTAGGGGGAAAAGGGGTTTGGAAAAAACGGGGGAAAAACCCGGGAAAGGAAAATTAAAGGGGAAATCCAGACCTAAAATGAGGGGGGAAAAGGGGTTTTAAGGGGCAAAGGCTAGGGTTGGGTTTTTAAATTCCAATTTTATGGTGAGAAAAGGGAAGGGGACAAGGAGCAACAATTTGTTTGTAAATTTTCCCCCCCAATTGGGTTTGAAAGATATAAACCCGTAGAGGGTTGGGCATCCCCCCCGGGGATGGGAAAGGCCACCGGTTTAAAAATACCGATTTCCTAAAATTAAAACAGAGGTGGAGTAATAAAAGGGACTTGATTTTTTAAAAAGGAACTTTTTGTGGTTTAAAAGAAAACAACCCTTGATACCCTATTGGGGCAATGGCAAAAAAAAAAAAAAAAACAAACACTTAATTGGGTCCACGGAAATTTGGGGAAAAAAAAACCCAGTTTATAAAGTAAAACGGAAAGGTAAAGTTAAAAGGGAAGTAAAAAAGTTGTAGGAGTAAAATTTAAAAAAGCTGACGTTTTTTTTGAATCCAAAGAAGGGGGCCCCAATTCCCGACCTTTGGGAAGGTTGAGAAGGAAAAGGAAATTGAAATGCGTTTGGGAAGAAAAAAATGGGGGAAAACCCCCAAATTTGCCAAAAGGGAAAAAATTCGGAAAAAGGGTAAAACCCCAAGGGGGGGGGAAAAAGCCGGGGCGCCCCAAATTTTTAATTTGATAAATTGTTTGGGAAAAAATTTTCCCCCCAAACTGTCAAAATTTCCCCTTTTGGGGTTTGGGGGGGCCCCCAGACAGAAGGAAAAGGCACCGGGGGGAAACAGGGGAAAACTTTTAAAAGGGGTTTGGGTTTAAGGTTTGGGAAATAAAAAAGGGAAAAACCATATATTTTTGTCGAGGCAAAAAAGGGCCGAAAGGAGTCCAAAAGAAGGCCAAACGGGGGTTATAAAAAATGAAATTTTCCCTATTTGGGGCCCCTTGCATTTAAAAATTGGGAAAAAATTTGGGCACATGGAAAGTTTTTATTTAAGGGAAAACAAAAAACACCCTTTCCCCCGGGGAAAGAAAGGGGAAGGCAAAAGGGAAGATTAAATTGGTAAAAAACGGAATGGGAAAATTTTTTCCCCCTTTTGGGGGGTTTACGAAAGAAACCCCAGACCCTTTTTTTTTGTTTGGGGGGGCCTGCCTGGAAAAACGCCCCCCCCAAAGAGGAAGGGGGGGAAATTCAATTTCGGAAAAGAAAAAAAAATTTTCACGGGCCAAAAAGAATAAGGGGCCCCAAAAAAAAATGGGTAATTTAAAAAGGGGGGGGGAAATTAGGTTGGACCCCCAAAAAATCCACCAGGAGGGGAAATAACCAAGGGGGAAGTAAGGAAATTGGGAAAAACCCCCAAATTCTTAAAGGATAAGGGGAAAAAAGGGGGGGTTTAAAATGTTTAAAAAAACTAAATAGAAAGGGAAAATCCCCCAGGCCCAAAAAGACAAAAAGGGAAGGTAATTTGGTTGAAAAGGGAAGGGGGGGGGGCCCCCAAAAAAAGGGGAAGGGGCGATTCCCAGAAAAAAGGCAGTGATTGAAGTTAACCCCACGGGGATTAGGATTTTTCATGGAGAAACGGGCGGAAACCCCCCCTTGTAAAAAAGGAAGGGGAAAAAAGGTTTTAAAAAATTTAAAAAAAGGGGGCAAGAAAAGGCCCGAGTGGGGGAAATCAAAAATTTTGGGGAAAATAAAAAAGGGGAAACAAATAGATTTTAAAAACAGGGAAGAAAACAGAAAAAAGAAAAAGGGAGGGAGGGGGAAAAAAAAATTGGGGGATTCAAAAAAGGGGGAGGACAACCCAAGAGATAAGGGAAAGGAAGAACCCCTTAAAGGGAAAAAAGGGTCAAAAAAGAAGATTTATGCAAATAAAAAGGCTAAAAGACCTGTTGGCGATGGGGGGGGGAAGGGGGGGAGGGAAGGGTGACCAGGAAGGAAGAAGGCTTAATTGGGGGTGATGACCTTTAAAGGGGGCCAGCCCCCTGCCAACCCTGCGTGGGGTTATTGGGGAGGGAAGGGGGCGAGAATTTATGAAATAAATGGGAGAAAAAGGAAGGTTTTTTTATTTCGGAAGTTAAAGGAAAAGGGGGAAAGACTAAGTTAAATTTGGGGGAACGTTTTTCCCAAGCTGAAAAGAAAGGGTGAGAGACCCGGGGATTAAAACCCTTCCCCCTTCAAAAACGGAAGAGTTTAGAATTGGAAAGGGGAAAAAGGAAGGAAATAAAAAAAAGGGGGGGAAAGAATCATTCCAAAGTATGGGGAAAGACGGGGGGGGCCGAAACATTGGGTTCTTAAGGGGGGGAACCCAAAAGGACTTGGGAAAAAAACCCTTTTAGGGGGGCCTACCCAGAGGGGGGTTTTTTTTTTTCCCCCCCCCCCCCAAAAGGGAAAAGGTATAAAAAAAAGATTCATCTAAATGTTGGGTAAGGGGAAACAAATTTAAAAAGGGGAAGGTCAATGACCTTAAAAAAAATTTTTTTAAAAAAAAAATATAGGTTTAAAAGGGAAAGAAATTTTGGGGAACGAAGGGTAGGGAAGAGATACGCCGGAAAAGTTGGCAATAAAAAAGGGACCCCCCGAAAAGTTGTTTTGGGAAAAAATAAAAGATTGCAAAAATTTTAGGACGGCAACAACTAAGGGGAATGGGGTGCCTTACCCAAACGAAAAATTTGAAAAAAAGGGACCCAAGGAAAGGGGGTGGCGGGCCACCGGGGGGGGAAAAACCCCCCCCCGGCGGGAAAACTTGGGAAAAAAACCCGAAAAAGGGAAAAAAAACCAATTTTCATAAAAAAAAGAAAAAAAAAATTTTATTATAGAAAAAAATAAAAAATTTTTATTTTTAAAAAAAAAAATAAAAAGGGATTTTTTGCGTGGGAACAAAAAAAAAATAAAAGAACATTTCTTTAGTGAAAAAAAAGAAAAAAAAACCCTTTTTGGGGGGAAAAAAAATGGAAAAGAAAATTAGGAACAAAAGAAAAAAAAAAGGTTTTTAGAGAAAAAGAAAAAAAAAATTTTACCGCAAAAAAAAGGGAAGGGGAAAAAGCAACAGAAAAGAAGGGAAAAAAAGAAAAAGAAAACAAAGGGGAAAAGGGGATTTTTTAAAAAATTAAAAAGAAATTTTTTCTTCTGTTACAAAATTGGATTTTTTTTTAAAGGAAAAAAAGGAAAAAACTAAAAATTGCTGAGACGGGGGAAGAAAAGAAAAAAAAAAAAAAAAAGAAAAAAAAAATTTTTGGGGTGCCCAAGAGGGGGAATAAGTAAAAAAAAGGGAAAAGGGCCTTTTTCGAAAAATTGGAAAAAAATTTAAAAAAAAAGAGAAAAAAGGGGAAAAAGTAAAAAAAATGGGAACAAAATTGGAAAAACCCCACCTTGAAAAAGCACCTTATAATTTGGAAAAAAATTTTTTTAAAATGAAAATTTAAATCGGAAAAAAAATTGTTTTTTAGGATGACCGGGGCAAAAAGGAAAAAAAAGGGAAAAAAAAAAAAAAAAGGGGAAATTTTTTTCAAGAAATTGGGTAATAGGAAAAAAAAGGGAAAAAAGTTTTTGGGCTAAGGGGGGGGAAAAAGGGGGAAAAAATCCTTTGAAGAAAAAGCGGGGGCCCCCTTTTAAACCGGGTAAAAAAAAAGGCATTTTTGAGGAAAAAAAAAAAAGGGGAAAAAAAGGGGTTTTTTTAAAAAAAAACCCCGGATTGTAAAAGGAAAACAGGCTTGGGCCAAAAAAGGGGCCAAAAAAAAAAAAATTCAAAATTAAAAATTGGGGCTCGGAAAAAAAAAAAGAAATGTGTCAAAACCAGGAAAGCGGATCTCAAACCGGGTATAGCGTTTTAAAAGCATAGAGGAAGTATTTAAAAAACAAAAAAGGAAAATTAATGGGTTTGGAAAACGAAACCCCCCTGAGAAAAACCCATAGTTCCCAAAAACCCCCGTCAAAGAAAAGGGGGTTGGGGTTTTACCCCCGCGGGGGGGAAAAAAAGGAAAACCCAAACCATTCACCCCCCAATGGGAAATTGTTATTTGAAATGAAAAATCATTAAGAGGGAGAAAAAGAACCAGGCTTGATGACAGTGTTTTGGCAATTGATAAGAAAATCGGTCAAAGCATCTAGCCTACTTTTGCGTAGAAAGACACCTTATCAAATTGGAGAAAGGGAAATTCTTTTTAGAACAATAGAAATGAAATTTTTTTTTTTAATCAGAGAAAAAGTGTCTTTTGGGTTGAGGGGAGTGACCGGTGGAACGGTATACAGATTCTGACCTGTTAAAAATTAGAACCCCCACATTGACGAGTGAAAGATGTTTTCAATTCAGATAAATTAAGATTTTCTGACTGCCGGGTCTGACAAAAAACAAGAGGTGAAAAAAACGATTGTCTCAGATCACAGATGGCGACAATATTCTTTCCTGAAGTCACAACTAATTAGCGGCAGGCTGTGTTGACAAAACCCAGGTGAGAAAAAGCCAAGATTATCATTTTCGTACGTGCGAAAAAGGCCAACAGATTTTGTTTTTTTTTAAAAACAAGAACGATGTAACCCCTTGAAAGGAGGAAAGGATGTCGATCAATAACAATTGGTCGGAAACGGTCACGTGATCTGCAGAAAGAAGAGAAAGAAATGCCCGATCAGGAACCATTGGTCGAAAAACGGTCACCTGACATACGAGAGACTAAGAGATGGTGTGCACCTCCCCACAAAGGGGCACTGTGAGGGAAGTAGGGTGAAAACAATAGCGATAATGGGAAATCAAAAAAAATAATGCGACTTTTGGAGTTATCGAGAAAAACCTGACGCCGACAGACCCACCCCAGTTTGTTGCGGCGTCAATAAAAGCAGGACCCTGATCGACAGAAATCAGTTGGAGTGGAGTTGCAGCTGGACCGCGGGCAGGGATAGAGCCTGAACGCGGGCATCAAACCCGATTCACTCGCCCTTTGCGGGCAAAAAAATCCTCAGACAAGAAATTCTTCCAGCCCAAGTCGAAGACAAAGAGAACTTCCAGCCCAAGCAGACGAAGAAGGAGATTGCTCGAAGGACGCCAAAGTTGTGGCAGACATACGGCAGAGTTCAGCCCCGGGCGGCAGTGAGAAGAGACCACCTCAGACGACAGAGAGTTGCGGCTAAGTTGAAACAAGAAATCTTCCACCAAGTTGAAACAGGAAAACTACCAGCCCAAGCAGACGAAGAAGAAGAAATACAACTCAAGTCGGAGAGAATCAACTGCGAATGATCGATAGAAATTAGCCCCATGTCGAACTGAACCACACTCCGACATACATACATGATTCTAGAAAGTAGGTAATTCGACATTTTTCTATTGTGTGATAGAAGCTTGGTGCCAGTCCACAGAGCGGGTCAGTATTGAGAACAATTTTGTTTTTTATGTAACGGACATTAAGATATAAAAGGTTGCTACGCTTTTTATCAGCAATTTTGTTTAGTGTCGTGAGTTTTTGTTTTATTTGTGTTTTGCCACCCCCTGTCGGACTCGACTTATCGGCCCAAATCCCTGCTGGTCCCGTCTGTCTAAGATCTAAACACAGCGTGGGTAGACAGACCGGAGATCAGTATAGTTAGCTTTAGTGACCAGGTATTGGAAACGAGTCGGGAAAGGCGAGGCTGGTGATCATCTGACCAAAGGGTTGGAGCGGCACGCTTGGACCCAGGAGGAGCGACCAGGAGGAGCGACGTCACCGTTGGCGCCGTAACCAAAGGATCCGACACTGGGCCAGGTGTGTAACCGTCACACATTACTACTTGGTTAATTCATATATTGTATCATTTCCTATTTGAGGTATACATTCCAGGTACAAGTGTTCGAAAATTCCATTGACGGATTATTTGGGACTGATGATAGGAGGCTAATGAGTAACATCCGCTAATCCGGTCAACGTACCGCAAAAAATTACATCCCACTTTATTGCGTCAATGTCAGCATTTGGGCACATTACTACTTGGTTAATTCATATTTGTATCATTTCCTATTTGAGGTATACATTCCAGGTACAAGTGTTGGAAAATTCCATTGACGGATGAATTGGGACTGATGATAGAGGCTAATGAGTAACATCCGCTAATCCGGACAACGTACCGCAAAAAATTACACATCCCACTTTATTGCGTCAATGTCAGCATTTGGGGACATTACTACTTGGTTAATTCATATATTTTATCATTTCCTATTTGAGGTATACATTCCAGGTACAAGTGTTGAAAAATTCCATTGACGGATGATTTGGGACTGATGATAGGAGGCTAATGAGTAACATCCGCTAATCCGGACAACGTACCGCAAAATTATTATCCCACTTTATTGCGTCAATGTCAGCATTTGGGCACGTTACTACTTGGTTAATTCATATATTGTATCATTTCCTATTTGAGGTATACATTCCAAGGTACAAGTGTTGGAAAAATTCCATTAACGGATGATTTGGGACTGATGATAGGAGGCTAATGAGTAACATCCGCTAATCCGGACAACGTACCCGCAAAATTACATCCCACTTTATTGCGTCTATGTCAGCATTTGGGCACATTACTACTTGGTTAATTCATATATTGTATCATTTCCTATTTGAGGTATACATTCCAGGTACAAGTGTTGGAAAATTCCATTGACGGATGATATGGGAGTGATGATAGGAGGCCATAAAAATAATGAGTAACATTTGGGCCATTACTACTTGGTTAATTCATAATCCCTATTTGGATAACATTCCAGTACCGTGTTGTTCCAAAAATTGGGACTGATGATGAATAGCGGATCCGGTCAACGTCCGGTTACATCCCACTTTATTGCGTCAATGTCAGCATTTGGGCACATTACTACTTGGTTAATTCATATATTGTATCATTTCCTATTTGAGATATACATTCCAGGTACAAGTGTTGGAAAATTCCATTGACGGATGATTTGGGACTGATGATAGGACGCTAATGAGTAACATCCGCAAATCCGGTCAACGTACCGCAAAATTACATCCCACTTTATTGCGTCAATGTCAGCATTTGGGCACATTACTACTTTGGTTAATTCATATATTGTATCATTTCCTATTTGAGGTATACATTCCAGGTACAAGTGTTGGAAAATTCCATTGACGGATGATTTGGGACTGATGATAGGAGGCTAATGAGTAACATCCGCTAATCCGGTCAACGTACCGCAAAAACATCCCACTTACACATCCTGTACTTAATTCATATATTGTATCATTTATTTGCGTCAATGTCCATTGACGGATTTTGGGCTGACATTAACATCCGCTTGGACAACGTTAATTCATATATTGCGTCAATGTCAGCATTTGGGCATCATTTCCTATTTGAGGTATACATTCCAGGTACAAGTGTTGGAAAATTCCATTGACGGATGATTTGGGACTGATGATAGGACGCTAATGAGTAACATCCGCTAATCCGGACAACGTACCGCAAAATTACACATCCCACTTTATTGCGTCAATGTCAGCATTTGGGCACATTACTACTTGGTTAATTCATATATTGTATCATTTCCTATTTGAGGTATACATTCCAGGTACAAGTGTTGGAAAATTCCATTGACGGATGATTTGGGACTGATGATAGGAGGCTAATGAGTAACATCCGCTAATCCGGACAACGTACCGCAAAAAAATTACACATCCCACTTTATTGCGTCAATGTCAGCATTTGGGCACATTACTACTTGGTTAATTCATATATTGTATCATTTCCTATTTGAGGTATACATTCCAGGTACAAGTGTTGGAAAATTCCATTGACGGATGATTTGGGACTGATGATAGGAGGCTAATGAGTAACATCCGCTAATCCGGTCAACGTACCTATTTGCAAAAATTACACATCCTGACTTTATTGCGTCAATGTCAGCATTTGGGCACATTACTACTTGGTTAATTCATATATTGTATCATTTCCTATTTGAGGTATACATTCCAGGTACAAGTGTTGGAAAATTCCATTGACGGATGATTTGGGACTGATGATAGGAGGCTAATGAGTAACATCCGCTAATCCGGACAACGTACCGCAAAAATTACATCCCACTTTATTGCGTCAATGTCAGCATTTGGGCACATTACTACTTGGTTAATTCATATATTGTATCATTTCCTATTTGAGGTATACATTCCAGGTACAAGTGTTGGAAAATTCCATTGACGGATGATTTGGGACTGATGATAGGAGGCTAATGAGTAACATCCGCTAAAACCGTCAACGACGTACCGCAAAATTACATCCCACTTTATTGCGTCAATGTCAGCATTTGGGCACATTACTACTTGGTTAATTCATATATTGTATCATTTCCTATTTGAGGTATACATTCCAGGTACAAGTGTTGGAAAATTCCATTGACGGATGATTTGGGACTGATGATGAGGAGGCTAATGAGTAACATCCGCTAATCCGGACAACGTACCGCAAAATTACATCCACTTTATTGCGTCAATGTCAGCATTTGGGCACATTACTACTTGGTTAATTCATATATTGTATCATTTCCTATTTGAGGTATACATTCCAGGTACAAGTGTAGGAAAATTCCATTGACGGATGATTTGGGACTGATGATAGGAGGCTAATGAGTAACATCCGCTAATCCGGACAACGTACCGCAAAATTACACATCCCAAGTTTATTGCGTCAATGTCAGCATTTGGGCACATTACTACTTGGTTAATTCATATATTGTATCATTTCCTATTTGAGGTATACATTCCAGGTACAAGTGTTGGAAAATTCCATTGACGGATGATTTGGGACTGATGATAGGACGCTAATGAGTAACATCCGCAGCATTGGGCACAATCATATATTGTATCGGACAACGTAAAATTCCATTGACGGATGAAAAATTACATCCCACTTTATTGCGTCAATGTCAGCATTTGGGCACATTACTACTTGGTTAATTCATATATTGTATCATTTCCTATTTGAGGTATACATTCCAGGTACAAGTGTTGGAAAATTCCATTGACGGATGATTTGGGACTGATGATAGGAGGCTAATGAGTAACATCCGCTAATCCGGACAACGTACCGCAAAAATTACACATCCCACTTTATTGCGTCAATGTCAGCATTTGGGCACATTACTACTTGGTTAATTCATATATTGTATCATTTCCTATTTGAGGTATACATTCCAGGTACAAGTGTTGGAAAATTCCATTGACGGATGATTTGGGACTGATGATAGGGAGGCTAATGAGTAACATCCGCTAATCCGGACAACGTACCGCAAAATTACATCCCACTTTATTGCGTCAATGTCAGCATTTGGGCACATTACTACTTGGTTAATTCATATATTGTATCATTTCCTATTTGAGGTATACATTCCAGGTACTGATGATAGTGTTGGAAAATTCCATTGACGGATGATTTGGGACTGATGATAGAATTCTAATGAGTAACATCCGCTAATCCGGACAACGTACCGCAAAAAAACGTACCGCACATCCCACTTTATTGCGTCAATGTCAGCATTTGGGCACATTACTACTGGTTAATTCATATATTGTATCATTTCCTATTTGAGGTATACATTCCAGGTACAAGTGTTGGAAAATTCCATTGACGGATGATTTGGGACTGATGATAGGAGGCTAATGAGTAACATCCGCTAATCCGGACAACGTACCGCAAAATTACACATCCCACTTTATTGCGTCAATGTCAGCATTTGGGCACATTACTACTTGGTTAATTCATATATTGTATCATTTCCTATTTGAGGTATACATTCCAGGTACAAGTGTTGGAAAATTCCATTGACGGATGATTTGGGACTGATGATAGGAGGCTAATGAGTAACATCCGCTAATCCGGACAACGTACCGCAAAAAAATTACACATCCCACTTTATTGCGTCAATGTCAGCATTTGGGCACATTACTACTTGGTTAATTCATATATTGTATCATTTCCTATTTGAGGTATACATTCCAGGTACAAGTGTTGGAAAATTCCATTGACGGATGATTTGGGACTGATGATAGGAGGCTAATGAGTAACATCCATAATCCGGACAACGTACCGCAAAAAATTACACATCCACTTTATTGCGTCAATGTCAGCATTTGGGCACATTACTACTTTGGTTAATTCATTTATTGTATCATTTCCAGATATTTTGACATACATTCCAGGTATAAATGTTGGAAAATTCTTGACGGATGATTTGGGACTGATGATAGGAGGCTAATGAGTAACATCCGCTAATCCGGACAACGTACCGCAAAAATTACACATCCCACTTTATTGCGTCAATGTCAGCATTTGGGCACATTACTACTTGGTTAATTCATATATTGTATCATTTCCTATTTGAGGTATACATTTCCAGGTACAAGTGTTTGGAAAATTCCATTGACGGATGATTTGGGACTGATGATAGGAGGCTAATGAGTAACATCCGCTAATCCGGACAACGTACCGCAAAAATTACACATCCCACTTTATTGCGTCAATGTCAGCATTTGGGCACATTACTACTTGGTTAATTTATATATTGTATCATTTCCTATTTGAGGTATACATTCCAGGTACAAGTGCTGGAAAATTCCATTGACGGATGATTTGGGACTGATGATAGGAGGCTAATGAGTACCATCCGCTAATCCGGACAACGTACCGCAAAAATTACTCATCCCATATATTGTATCTTTATTGCGTCAATGTCCATTGACGGATTTGGGACGTGATATTACGCTACTCCGCTAATCCGGTTAATTCATATATTGTCATCATTTCCTATTTGAATTCATATATTGTATACATTCCAGGTACAAGTGTTGGAAAATTCCATTGACGGATGATTTGGGACTGATGATAGGAGGCTAATGAGTAACATCCGCTAATCCGGACAACGTACCGCAAAAATTACACATCCCACTTAATTGCGTCAATGTCAGCATTTGGGCACATTACTACTTGGTTAATTCATATATTGTATCATTTCCTATTTGAGGTATACATTCCAGGTACAAGTGTTGGAAAATTCCATTGACGGATGATTTGGGACTGATGATAGGAGGCTAATGAGTAACATCCGCTAATCCGGACAACGTACCGCAAAAATTACACATCCCACTTTATTGCGTCAATGTCAGCATTTGGGCACATTACTACTTGGTTAATTCATATATTGTATCATTTCCTATTTGAGGTATACATTCCCCATACAAGTGTTGGAAAATTCCATTGACGGATGATTTGGGACTGATGATTTGAGGCTAATGAGTAACATCCGCTAATCCGGACAACGTACCGCAAAAATTACACATCCCACTTTATTGCGTCAATGTCAGCATTTGGGCACATTACTACTTGGTTAATTCATATATTGTATCATTTCCTATTTGAGGTATACATTCCAGGTACAAGTGTTGGAAAATTCCATTGACGGATGATTTGGGACTGATGATAGGAGGCTAATGAGTAACATCCGCTAATCCGGACAACGTACCGCAAAAATTACACATCCTACTTTATTGCGTCAATGTCCAGCATTTGGGGACACATTACTACTTGGTTAATTTCATATATTGTATCATTTCCATATTTGAGGTATACATTCCAGGTACAAGTGTTGGAAAATTCCATTGACGGATGATTTGGGACTGATGATAGGACGCTAATGAGTAACATCCGCTAATCCGGACAACGTACCGCAAAAAGTTACACATCCCACTTTATTGCGTCAATGTCAGCATTTGGGCACATTACTACTTGGTTAATTCATATATTGTATCATTTCCTATTTGAGGTATACATTCCAGGTACAAGTGTTGGAAAATTCCATTGACGGATGATTTGGGACTGATGATAGGAGGCTAATGAGTAACATCCGCTAATCCGGACAACGTACCATAAAAATTACACATCCCACTTTATTGCGTCAATGTCAGCATTTGGGCATTACTACTTGGTTAATTCATATATTGTATCATTTCCTATTTGAGGTATACATTCCAGGTACAAGTGTTGGAAAATTCCATTGACGGATGATTTGGGACTGATGATAGGACGCTAATAGGTAACATCCGCTAATCCGGACAACGTACCGCAAAAATTACACATCCCACTTTATTGCGTCAATGTCAGCATTTGGGCACATTACTACTTGGTTAATTCATATATTGTATCATTTCCTATTTTT